TTTTATGAAATAAATAAATAAATAAATGGCATCCAAATCAAAAAGAAAGAAGTAAAATGATCTCTGTTTGCAGATGACATGATCCTATATGTAAAAATTCTAAATACTCCAACAAAAAAAATTTAAGTACAAGTAAATTCAACAAAATTGTAGGATACAAAATCAACATACACAACTCAGCTACATTTAGACCAATAACAATCAATCACAAAAAGATATCAAGAAAATCTCATTCTGATAACATAAAAAAATACTAAGTTTATTCCTAAGTTTAGGAATAAACTTAACTAAAGAGGTAAAAAGATCTGTACCCTGAAAATTATGATATATTGATGAAAAAAGTTTTAAAAGATACAAATAAATGAAAAGAACTCCCATGTTTATGGATAGGAAGAATTAATACTGTTAAAATGTTCATACCGCCCAAAGAGATACACAGATTCAATACAATCCCTGTCATCCTATCAAAATTCCACGGGCATTTTTTCTGCAATAGAAAAAAACGTTTTGTTTTTATAACAGTTTTATTCACATAAATTCACATGCCATAATTTTCTCTTTAAAAGAGTACAATTTTTATATTTAGTGTAAAAATATAAAATAAAAATATAAATACACAATTTAGTATGTTTACAGAGCTATAAAACTATCGCCACTGTCTAAATGCACCTGCATCATCCCCCAAGGAAACTCTGGGCCTATTAGCAGTCACTTCCCATTCATCTCTTTCTCTAGCCTCTGGCAACCACTAATCTACAGTCTGTATCTATGAATTTGCCTATTTTGGACATTTCATATAAATGAAATCAAAATATATGAGGCCTTTAGTGTCCATCTTCTTTTATATTACATAATTTTGTAAAAGTCCATTTATATTGTAGAATGTATCAGTCCTTCATTCCTTTCATTTGCTGAATAAAATTTTATTGTATGGTTATATAATTTTTTAATTATAAAAATTAAATTTGCTTTTTTATTAAAAAAAGAAAAAACAAATTTATTGTATAGGAAACCACAGAAGATTCAGAATAGCCTGAGGAACTTGAGGGAAATAAAAGAGAACAAAGACGGAGGCATCACCTTCTGATTTAAAATTATATTACAAGCAAAAACATGGAACCAACCATGCTGCCCATCAAAAGAGGATTGGATTTTTAAAATGTGGTACATAATACATGATGGGATATTGCGCAGCCATAAAGAAGGACAAAATTATGAACTTTGCAGCAACTTCAATGGACTTAGAGTCTATAATACTGAATGACCTATTACAGAAACAAAGAACTGAGTATCACACATTCTCATTCATAAGCAGCCCTTGAATAACTATTGCAATACTATAAGAAAGGAAGTGGCAGTAGTGGGAAACTGCCGGGGGTCGGGGGGCATATCTCATCAACAAGGGTACCTGCACAATGAACATTTGTATATCTAACCCTGAATTGTACCCCACAGATTTAAAATTAAACAAAAATTTAAATAAAATTATATTAAAAACCTATAATAATCAAGACAGTGTGCTACTGAAATAAAAAGAGACACATAGGCCAATGGGACAGAATAGAAAGCCCAAAGATAAGCCTAATTTTTGACAAGACTCCAAAATGCTTACTGGAGAAAGGATAGTCTCCGCAATAAATGATATTGGGAAAACTGAACAACTACATGCAAAAGAAGGAAACTGGATCTTCATCTTACATCACACAAGAAAATTAAAGTAGTGATTAAAGACTTCAATGTCAGACTTTAAAACTGTAAAAGACCAAGAAGGATACATAGAGAAAAACACTTTATCATTGGGCTTGGCAATGAATTTTGGAATATGGTACCAAAATGTCAAACAACAAAAGCCTAACTAAACAGATGGGACTGCATCAAACTAAAAAGTCTCTCACTTAAACAAAATATGTAAGAAACTGACATGACTCAATAGCAAAAATCAAAATAAATAACCCAGTTGGAAAATGGGCAAAGGGCCTGCATAGACATTTTTCCAAAGACATACAAATGGCCAACATAGATATGGAAAGGTGCTTAATATCACTAATCACCAGGCAAATGCAAATCAAAATGATAATGAAACATCATCTCACATCTGTTGGGATGGTTATTTTAAAAAAGACAAGAGATAGCAAGTGCTGGAAATGGTGTGGGGAAAAAAGGACCCTTGAACACAGTTAATATAAATGGAAATTGGTACAGTCATTATGGAAACAGTATGGAGAGTCCTAAAAATATTAAAACTAGAACTATCATATGATCCAGAAATCTCTCTCCTAGGCACACACCCAAAGGAAATAAAATCAGTACCTTGAAGAGATATCTGTGTTCCCATGTTTATTGCCATATTATTCACAATAACCAACATATGGAGATAATCTAAACATTCGTGAGTGGATGAAATGCTTAAAGAAACTGTGATATAATCAGAAGTGGAATATTATTCAGCCTTAAAAAGTGAGAAGATGCTGCCATTTGCGACAACTAGAGGAATCATTATGCTAAGTGAAATATTTTAGACACAGAAAAAAAACACTGCATAATGTCACTTCAATGTGGAATCTAAAAATGTAGACTACAGAGAAGCAGAGAGTAGAATGGTGATTACCAGGGCCAGGGAAGTGAGAGAAATGGGGAGATGTTGGTCAAAAAGTGCAAAGTCACAGTTACATAAGATGAATAATTCTGGAGATCTAATGGACAGCCTAATGACTGTAATCTAATATCATACTTTAGAAATTTGCTAAGAAAATGATATCAACACACACAAACTTCCCTGCACATAGACCACTCATGTTCCTAATCCTGCCGTGTACCCCACATTTTAAAAATAAAATAAAAGCGGTTAAAAAAGTAAAGAGGTGGATATGTTAATTAGCTTGACTACAGTAATAATTTCACTATGTATATGCATATCAAAGCATCATTGTACACTTTAAATATAACATTTTTATTTAACACAAACAACAACAGATGCTGGTGAGGATGCAGAGAAAAAGGAATGCTTCTACACTGCTGGTGGGGATGCAAACTAATACAACCTCTTTGGAAAACAGTGTGGCGATCTCTAAAAGAACTAGACAATGGCCTTCCATATGACACAGCAATTCCCCTACTGGGAATATACCCAGAGGAACTGAAATCATTCTACAAAAAAGATACGTTTATTGCAGCATTATTCACAATAGTAAAAATATGGAACCAACCATGCTGCCAATTGAAATGGGATGGGTTTTTTAAAATGTGGTACAGAATAGCCAAAACAATCCTTAGCAAAAGAAACAAAGCAGGAGTATCACATTTGCAGACTTCAAACTTTGCTATAAGGCTACAGTAATCAAAACAGCCTGGTATTGGTACCAAAACAGGCATACAGATCAATGGAACAGGATGGAGATTCCAGAAGCAAAGCCTCAATTCCTCAACCAACTCATCTTTGACAAAGCCTCCATCAACAACCACTGGAGAGAGGAGAATCTATTCTGTAAATGGTGCTGGGAAAACTGGCTGACCAAATGCAGAAGATTGAAACAGGACCCCTATCTATCACTACACACAAAAATTAACTCTAAATGAATCAAAGAACTAAACGTAAAACCTCAAACTATAAGAAGCTTGGGAAATGCAGGAAGCACCCTTATGGAAATTGGAATTGGCAACCAATTCCTATTCAGAACTCTAAAGGCCAATACTTTAAGAAATAAGATAGACAAGTGGGACCTCATCAAACTAAGGAGCTTCTGCAAAGCAAAAGAAACTATCAAGAGAGCAGGGAGACAGCCCACAGAACGCATTCCCACCAGCAATGTAGAAGCGTTCCTTTTTCTCCACATCCTTGCCAGCAATCCGTTGTTGTTTGTTTTATTAATGATGGCCATTCTTACTGGGGTTAGGTGGTATCTCAATGTGGTTTTGATTTGCGTTTCTCTGATGATGAGTGAGGCTGAGCACGTTTTCATGTGTCTGTTGGCTGTCCGTATGTCTTCTTCTGAGAAGTGTCTATTCATGTCTTTTGCCCCCTTTTTAAAGGGGCTATTTGTTTTTTTCCTTTCAACGTGTTTGAGTTCCTTGTCGATCCTATTTGTTAGGCCTTTGTCATATATACAGTTGGCAAATATTTTTTCCCATTCTGTTGGCGTCATTATCCCCCAAATCTGTCTATACTCTTTATAATAAGTAGAGAGGAAAAAAACTGCCACAACAACAACAACAAAAGACTGCAAAAAACTGCAGCAAAATATTAACAAATATTTCTGGGTGACAATACTGAGGGTTTTACATCATATATGCCATATATGTGTTTTTATAAAAAGAGTATTTTTATAAAGAGTACTTATATTGAGTACTTTTTGAAAAGATGGGTGCAGAAATGAGCAAGTAAAAATTACAAAAGCAAAGCAATCCAACAAAAAACAATCCTCTTCCCTAACAAGGACCCCCTGAGAGACAGGCTGTCAACCTACCCTCAGCCTACCACGACTTTGTTTACATTCATGTTTGTCGCATGGCCAGACGAACTTAAGTTTCAAAGCAAGACAAGATTAAGTTTCAAAGCCACGTATGGAAGGACCTCAGGGACTTTTCCTCCCGCCTGGGCCCCCAAACTCCAGTCTCTAGCCTCGATTTTAAAAGATGAACACGCTTCCCGTGTCTTTATTTTCCCCGGCCAACAACGTGGGTGGAAACGGACAACAAGGTCATCTAAACACTACAAAGACCTTTTAAAATCACTAGATGCCACACGGTACTAAAGACACAAAAATCAGGGTTCCGTGCTGAAGTGTTGAAAAAGCACTTGATTAACGGTGGCATTTAAAAAAAAAAATTTTTTTTGTTTTAAGGTGCAAACACACGAGCGTTAGGAAGGAAAAAAAAGTAAATAAACTCGAAAAGAGAGCGTGCTTTCGGTTTCAGTTCTTCCTCGTCCTAACCCATGACAGATGGGCTGTAACATCCGGTTTGACTTTCCTCTCGTAAGAGATTTCCCCGGAGCCAGACTCCAGAGCGCAGGGGGTGCGCGAAGGCAGCCGAGACCGGGTCCCCTGGCTGCAGCGCCCCGGCAGGTGAGTTCGCGCCTACGCTTTGCTTTTCGTGCGCGTTTGGGTCGACGAACCAACAACCCACATCCCCAAGGGTAGACGCCACACTGGCCGGGGGGCCAAGGCCGCGCGGGAGGACCGAGCGGGTGGACCCAGCGGGAGGCCGGAGGCGGCGCGCCAGAGGCTCAGCATCTCCGCGGCCCCGCGGCGGCTAGGAGGCGACAGCGCGCGCAACTGGTTCTCCTCCCCAAGGTTGTAGCAGAGATTCCTGCCCGGGCCGCGGAGGAGCGCATCCTACACGCGTCTGCGGGAAAGCAGGGGTTAAAGGCCTTGGCTGGGTGGGGTCTTGTCCCCCCCAGCCTCCCGCCCCCCTTCTCAGACATTTCTCAGACATTGTCTGCCCTCTCCTGGGCCCTGGAGAAGAGGTGAGTTTTCAAACTGCGTAGTACAGCGATGACATTCAACAGTTGAACTTCTGTCACCGACTATAAAAACCTCTGTGACTGTAATCTCTCCGTGTAGAGCTGTATTGTCATGACTTCATCTAGTAAGAGAAGATGCAATTCTTTAACTTGTTCAGGATCAATAAGATAATATCCATAAGGCATCTCTACCAGGACTTGTCATTGAGAGGGATTCGTTAGATAGAATATTATTCTTAGGGGAAAAAAAAATGCATCGTGAGAGACCAGGAATACTTGAGTGTCCTCGTCAATGTTTCCGGGGATTATGGCCGTGTTGGAGGAAAGGGTTTGCGACCTGGCAATGCAAGGCCCCACACCTGTCCCTTGGAAATGTGCAAAAAGTAAGACGTGTATATAGACGTTCCACAAGCCAGGAGTTGATGTGAGAAACTACTAGAGATGACTTAGAGGTCTGGTATTCTGCTGAATTGTTCTTCTGAGTTTTCAGGTTACCACTGGACTCAGCCCACCACAATGTTCCCCATTTGTCTGGTGGAAAACGAAGAAGAGCAGCTGGTGGTGAATCCAAAAGCATTAAAGATTCTTGACACAATTTCTCAGCCTGTAGTGGTGGTGGCCATCGCAGGGCAGTACCGGACAGGAAAGTCCTACTTGATGAATCGTCTGGCAGGAAAGAACCATGGTGAGTGTTATCTTGGAGCACGGATCGTTTGCTGGGAACCAGTGATAGTACGAGCTGACCACACCTCTTCTAGGGTCGTCTTAAGAAAGAGTTCAACTCCTACCAAGGAGGAAAACTTCTAATATTTATTATCAAAGTTACAACCTCAACTCCATCTGTTCATAAAATCTCCCTCTTTTCTCCAGTGATAAGAAGCTGTTTTCCACACCGTATCAAAACATCCAACCGACTATTCTTTTAGGTCCCCTCTACTCACAAGCTCTCAGTTTTTGCCATTGTTCTTTCTCCTGCATCACTTTTGCCAAAACTAGTGTCATTCAAAGAAGCTTCCATTGTAGTTTAATATGTTCTGTTTTCAAAATTAGACAAAAGGAAGGACAGGGGAAAAGGAAAGTTCCCCATTTATCCCATATCTCAATGGAGCTACTGTCTGATTTTTTGTCCCATTTAATTGAAAAATTTTGTAAAGTATACCCCCTTCTATTTTTTTAGCTTTCCAGTGTATGAACTATAAAACATATAGAAGAGTGAATGAAACACGGTGTACAATAGAATAAATATATTGTAAAGTGAGCACCTGTGTAATAATGGACCAGGTCAAAAAATAAGACTTTAATGACTACCAAAAACCCAAATCACTAGTGCTCGCCAATATTTTGACTTTCATGAAACTTCCCTCCTTGTTTTTTAAAAATGATTTTACAAATGATGAAAGCATTTGTAATAAGTAGTTTTGCTCGGCCTGCTTCAAATTTTCACATAAATACAATTAAATTATATGTATTTTTTGGTGTCTTGCTTCTGTTTGCTCAATAAGATGTTTGTAAGATTCATCCAGTTTTTAGTGTGTGGTTATAATAATTTCTTTATTTCACTGCATTATAGTATGTCATTATATGAAGATACCATAATTTATTTATCCATGTATTATTGGAGAACATTTATATTATTTCTACTTTTTACCTTCTTTTTTTGAATTGGAGTCTTACTCTTGCCCAGCCTGAAGTGCAGTGGCCACTGCAGCCACGAACTGCTGGGCTCAGGCGATCCTTCTGCCTTGGCCTCCTAAGTAGCTGGAACCACAGACGTGTGCCACCATGCCCGGCTAAAATTTTTTTGATCTCGATTTATTTTAGAGAGGAGGTCTTGCCATGTTGCTCAGGCTGGTCTTGAACCCCTGAGCTCAGGCAATCCTCTCGCCTCTGCCTCCAAAAGTGCTGGGATTACAAGCTTGAGCCACTGTGCCCGGCTCACTTTTTACCTTTTATGAACAAGAGTGTTATACATATTCTTGTAGTTTTATCCTAATGTACACGTATACAAACCTCCCCTGTATAACATACCCTGAAGTGGAATTGCTAGGTCATAGAGTATGTTTGTCTTCAGGATTTTCAGATAATATCAAGTGATCTTTTCCCTCTACGTATAATTTCTATGCTTTTTGCAGTAATTAAAAATTCCCAGGCCCTTGGTGCTGTGGCTCACACCTGTAACTTTTCTTGTGGTGACAGTTCAGTTGTTTGCCTTGTGCCTCAATATAAATAAAGTTAATCAACTTTTCACGTATTACTCACCATTTATGTTTCCTATTTTGTTAAATGGCTGTTCAAATCTTTTTTTTTCCTTCAGCTGTGTTGTCTCAATTACTTCTTTTTTATTTTTTTTAATTATAAAGAGAAGGCATACAATTCAGGGTTAGGTATACACACATTGATTATGCAGGTACCCTTGTTGAGGAGGTATGCCCCTCCCTCCCCTAGCAGTTTCCCTCAACTGCCAATCCCACCTCCTCCGACAGTTTTCCATTACTGCCAAATACTTTCTTATAGTATTATAATTGCTCAAGGTCTGCTTATGAGTGAGAACATATGGTACTCTATTTGTTTCTGTGATAGATCATTGAGTATGATCGACTCCAAATCCATCCAAGTTGCTGTGAAGTCCATATATTTGTGCTTCTTTATAGCTGCATAATATTCCATTGTGTATATGCACCACACTTTCTTTATCCAGTCCAGCTTCGATGGGCAACATGGTTGGTTTCATGTTTTGCTATTGTGAATAGAGCTGCAACAAACATACATGTGCAGGTATCTTTTTTGTAGAATGATTGTAGCTCCCCTGGGTATATTCCCAATAGGGGAATCGCTGGGTCATATGGAAAGTCAATTTCTAGTTCTTTCAGAATTGATTTTTTAGGTGACTATACCCGTGGTCTCTTCCATCTTGCAGACCATGCAGCCATTTTTTTTTTTTTTCCCAAATATCTTTCTTCCTTTCTGTCTCAGCACCACTGGGGAGTGAACCTCGGTCTATTAATTTCTAAGGATCCCCACACATCTGTGTTACTGTCTCTCCTTCCCTTGTAGGCTTCCCTCTGGGCTCCACATTAAGGTCTGAAACCAAGGGCATCTGGATGTGGTGTATGCCTCACCCCCACAAGCTGAACCACACCCTAGTCCTTCTAGACACAGAGGGCCTGGGCTATGTGGAAAAGGTAAGACAGCAAAACATGGAGAAATCTTCTTGGCTCTTTAGTCTCTATTTGCCATTTAATTTCCCACTTCACTTCAAATTCTGTTGCCTATCACTGTAAGCTGTAAATCCAATTATGTATAACGAGGCTGCATTCTATTGCCTGGAACTTAGGTCTTCAGTTAGCTAAAATATTTTGATACATACTTCAGGTGCATTCATATTGTCACAAATGACAGGATTTCATTCTTTTTGTAATGATGAATAATATTTTATTGTGTGTACATACTATATTTTCTTTATTCATTCATCTATTGGTAAATATTAAGGCTGACCCTTATCAAATTATTGTGAATAATGCTACAGTGATCATGGGAGTGAAGATATATTGATTTCAATTCTTTTGCTATATATTCAGAAGTGGGATTGCTGGATCATATGATAATTTTTTTTTTTTAAACACATTTTTTATTTTAAAATTGTGGGGTACAGTTAAGGATTAGGTATACAAATATGCATCGTTCAGGCACCCTTGTTGATAAGGGGTGTCTCCCCATCTCCAGACAGATATTGACTACCGGTCATCCCACCACCCTTGCCCTCCCTGTCCCTTGCATAGATTCCCACCACTGTCGATCCTTTTCTTATAGTATTCTATATTTAGCTTTTTGAGGAACCTCTATTCTGTTTTCCATAAAGGCTGTATTAATTTACATTCCCACCAACAATGCACACCTTTGCCAACACTTGTTGTCTCTTGCCTTATTGATGCTAGCCATCCCAACAGGTATAAGTTGATACCTCACTGCAGCTTTGACTTGCAATCCTTTAAAGATTAGCAATGAAAATGTTTTCATATACCCACTGGCCATTTGTATGTCTTCTTTTGAGAAATGTCCATTCAGATCCTATGCCCATTTTTTAATCAGTGCGTTTGTTTTCTTACTGTTAAGTAATGTAAGTTTCTTATACATTTTGGATGTTAACCCCGTCTAGAGGTATAGTTTGCAAATATGTTCCCCATTCCATAGGTTGGCTCTTTACCCTGTTGATGGTGTCCTTTGCTGTGAAGAATATTTTTAGTTTGATGTAATTTCATTTGTCTATTTTTGCTTTTATTGCCTGTGTTTTAGGGTCATAGTCAAGAAATCATAGCCCAGAGCGTTATCATAGATATTTTCCTTTTTCTCTAATAGTTTTACAGCTTTATGTCTTGCACTTAAGTTTTTAATCTATCTTGAGTTGATTCTAATATGAGTTAAGATAGGGTTTATCTCCATTCTTCGGCATATGGACATACAATTTTTCTCACCACCCCTTATTGAGAAACAATCCTTTCCCTATGTGTGTTGGTGGGACCTTTGTCTAAAATCAATTAATAATAAATGTGTGGGTCTATTTCTGGGCTTTCTATTCTGTTCCATGGACCCATGTGTCTGTTTTTATGCCAATACCATGCTGTTTTGTTTACTATAATTTGTAATATATTTTGAAATCCAGTAGTGTGATGCCTCCAGCTTTGTTCATTTTGCTCAAGACTGCTTTGGTATTTGGGGTCTTTTGTAGTTCCATATGAGTTTTAGGATATTTTGCTCCTATGAAGAATGTCATTGGTATTTTGATAGAGAATCCATTGAATTTATAGATAGCTTTGTGTAGTATGGGCATTTTTAAAATATTAGTTATTCAATTCATAAACGAGATATTGTTACACTTACTTGTGTCATCATCAATTTCTTTCATCAAAATTTTACCATTTTTATGTGTAGAAATCTTTCACTTATTTAGTAAGTTTATTTCTAAGTATTTTGCTTTTTTTGATGCTCTTATAAATGAAATGGTTTCTTAATTTCTTGTTAAAACAGTTCATTTTAGAGTATAGAAATTAACTGATTTTTGTAAGCTGATTTTGTATCCTGAAATTTCACTAAATTTCTTTATTGGTTATAGCAGTGTTTTTGGTGGCATCTTTAGGATTTTCTGCATATAAGATCGTGTTATCAGCAAAAAGAGAAAGTTTTGTTTCTTATTTTCCAGCTGGATACATTTTAATCCTTTTTCTTCCCTAACTGTCTGCTTAGAACCTTCAGTACTATGTTGAACATAGAATTGTCATCCTTTTCTTGTTCCTGACCTGAGAAAACAAAAGACTTAAACTTTTCACCATTTAGTATGATTTTTGCTGTGGGCTTGTCATATATGGCTTTTACTGTGTGTCACATTCTTTCTGTAGCTAATTTGTTGAGAATTTTTATCATGGAAGGATGTTGAATTTTGTCAAATACTTTTCCTTCATCTATTGAGATGATCCTATGGTTTTTGTCCTTCATTCTTTTAATATGGTGAATCACATTTATTGATTCTCATGTGTTGAAATATCCTTGCATCCAGGGATAAATTTCACTTGATCATGGTTTAATCCTTCTAATGAACTTTTGAATACAGATTGCTACTATTTTGTTGAGAATTTTTGCATCTGTGTTCATCAGTGATATTGACCTGTCATTTTATTGAAGTGTCTGTCTGACTTTGGTATCAGGTTAATTTTGACCTCATAAAATGAGTTTGGAAATTTTCCTTGTTCTTCATTTTACTGGAAGAGTTTGAGAAAAATTGATATTAGTTCTTAAAGGTTTGGTAGAATTTAGCCATGAAGCATTTTTTTCCGGACTTTTCTTTGATGGAAGACAATTATTATCCAATCTCCACATCAGGATTCTTGGTCTGTACATATTTCTGACTTCTTCATGATTCATTGTTAGTAGGTTATATGTTCCCAGAAACTAATCCATTTCTTTTAGACAATCCAATTTGTTGGTGTATAGTTGTTTATAGTAGTCTTTTATGATCCTTGGTGGTTTTGTTACCAGTTGTAATGGCTCTTTTATTTCTGATTATATTTAGTTAATTCTTTTTTTATTAATCTAGCTAGGTGTTAGTCAATTTTAACTTTTCTAAAAAACAACTCTTAGTTTAGTTGATTTTTAAAATTTTTTAATCTCTATTTTGCTCATTCTCTGATCATTATTTTGTTTTACTTCTACTAACTTTGGGCTTAGTTCTTAAGTTCTTATTTTTTCTAGTTCCTTGCGTTACATTTGGTAGTTTACTTCAGATCTTTCTTCTTTTCTTATTCTTTAGGCATTTATTGCCAGAGCTTATTTTTTAGAACTGCTTTTGCTGAATTTCCTTTACTTTGGGTATTTTCTGTTTTCCATTTTGGTTTTCATCTTTTCCAAATTTATGATTAACTGATGGATAAAACCGTATGTACTTATTATGTACAACATGATGTTTTGAAGTGTATGTACCTTCTAGGGTGGTAAAAGTCTAGCTAACTAACATATGCATTACCTCACACAGTTATTTTTGTGGTGAAAACACTTCAAGATCTACTCTCAGCATTTTTCAAGAATGCAATATGTCATAATTAACTATAGTCACTACGCTGCACATTAGGTGTCTTGAAATTATCCTTCCATCTAACTGCATTTTTATATCTATCTTTTGACCAACATCTCACCAACACTACCCTCTCCTCTCTATTGCTCCAGCCTCTCATAACCACCATTCTACTGGATACTTCTATGGGATCAACTATTTTTAGATTCCACATATGAATGAGATTATGCAGTACTTCTCTTTCTGTGCCTGGCTTATTTCACTTGAACTAATGTCCTCTAGAGGCATCTATACAGTCACAAATGACAGAATTTTATTCTTATTTATGGATGAATTGTACTCCATTGGTATATATACCACATTTTATTTATCTATTCATTGGTAGGCACTTTGATTGATTCCACATCTCAGTTATTGTGAATAATGCTGCAATAAACATGGAAGTGCAGTTGTCTCTTCAACAAACTGATTTAATTTCTTTTGAATATCTACTCAGCAGTGATACTGCTGAATCATATGGCAGTTCTGTTTTCAATTTTTTGAGGAATTTCCATAGTATCTTTCATAATGGCTGTACTAATTTACATTTCTACCAACAGTATACAAGGTTTCCCTTTTTCTCTGTATTCTTGCCAACACTTGTTATGTTTTGTCTTTTGAATAATACTCATTCTAACAGATGTGAGACAATATCACATTGTGTTTTGATTGGTATTACATTGATGATTAGTGTTCGTGGACATTTTTTCATGTAACTTTTGGCCACTTATGTCTTCTCTTGAAAAATTTATTCATATCTTTTGGACATTTTTAACCAGATTATTTGTTTTCTTGTTATTGAGTTGTTTGCATTATTTATATATTTTGGACATTACTCCTTTCTCAGATGTATACTTTGCAAATATTTTCTCCCATTCCATAGGTTGTCTCTTTACTCTCTTGATTGTCTCCTTTGCTATGAAGAGCATTTTTAGTTTGAGGTAATTTCATTTGTCTATATTTGCTTTTATTGCCTGTGTTTTTGGGGTTATAGTCAAAAAATCGCAACCCAGTTCAATCTCACGGAGAATTTTCCCTGTGTTTTCTTCTAAGTAATCTTAGTTCCAGATCTTTTGTTTAAGTTTGTAATCCATTTTGAGTTGATTCTTCTGTAAGAGTTAAGATAAAGGTCCACTCCATTCTTCGGCATGTGGATATACAGTTTTCCCAACACCGTTTTATTGAGAAACAGTCTTTTCCCTATTGTATGTGGTAAAACCTTTGTAAAAAACCAATTGACCATAAACATGAGGGTTTATTTCCAGGCTTTCTATTCTGTTCCATATATTCATGTGTCTGTTTTTATGCCAGTACAATACTTTTTTGTTTACTATAGCTTTGTAGTATATTTTAAAATCTGGTAGTATAATGCTTTTAGCCTTGTTCATTTTGCTCAAGGTTGCCTTGTCTATTTGGGGTCTTTTGTGGTTTCAAACAAATTTTAGAATTTTTTCTATTCCTGTGGAGAATGTTATTGGAATTTTGATGAGATTGCATTAAATCTGTAGATCACTTTTTTTAGAATGAGCATTTTAGCAAGAATTAATCAATTCTTACAATCCATGAATATGGGATATCTTT